ACATTTTTCATCACTTTACACAAAAGTACGATTCTGTTTTAAAAGGGAAATAAATTAATTTGTCAAAACGTGTTCACACAATTTTTCACAAAGTTTTGTGGCTGTGAAAGAGAAAAGTTGGGAATTTTTCCCAAAACCATCCTCTTGTAATAAAGAATGTCGTTGTCTTAAATTCACAATAATTTACCAAATAATTACTTGCTAAATGTGAATGGAAAAGCCTTTAAGGATCGAGAATCGCTTAAAATGATATAATGAAATGATAAAATGAACAAATTAAATTTTCATTGACATTGAATTTTTCATTTTCACTTCACCATTTTATAGAACGAAGAATTTGCCTCCTGGTTTGTTTCTTAAGTCTTTTGTTTTCACTCATGTTAAAGACTTAAGCAACAAACTTTTACATAAATTCGATATTTTGTATAAATATTGCGTATCAAAATTATAATCTGAAATGAGTGCTGAAAACTTTTTCAAATCAAAATTATACAAAACAATATTATAAGAACAGTACGCATACAGCCCATCTTGAGAGAAATATTAAAAATAACCAAAAACTACGAAAAACAAATATGTGTAATCCTTTTCAGGCACCTAGATGACCTTGGATTAATTTTTAAAATACCAGTTTCCGATGAAGAATGTTTTGTTTCCATGCACTTGGTTTGCAAATTTCCAATTTGTTCCTGACTATGTTTAGATGTGCACCTCCTCTTAAAATGGTGAGCTTACAGAGGCACAACTCAAAATTTGACATTTTTGGATTTTATTTACCATTCAGCATAAGCTGGAGCAAATTTTTGTTATAATTTGTTAAAAAAAACCTATGGTGAAGTCTCCCTTACTAATATGATTATCATGTGCAAAGAAATAGTTTTTCGCAATTTCTGGCAAACGTGTAATATGGAGTTGTGTCCCTTTTGAAGACGGTGTGCGATATATCTGCACCCTCTAAGGATGAAACAATCAATTTCCATTCCGGCTCCTACAGTTTCTTAAGTTTAGCCTGAAAAAATGCCATGCTTTAATTGATTAAATTATATTAGCTATGTTTTCTTTTTCTGTTGACTTAGGGTTTACAAAAATAACAAAAATTAATTTGATATTATTTTAAAGCATCTGAGATTGGCCTCCTTTGTGCTGAGAACTCTAAAAAATAATTCAAATTTACATATTCCAGGTAGCATGTTTTTAGACGTTGGACAAATAATATTTCATTTAGATAAGATTCTTTCAAAATTGTTTATATTTCTTCTCTTTTCGAAGAACAAGCTGCTTCAAAATGCACGGCTTGCATGCGTATTTGAATTCCATAAACATAAATTTCTTCTCGGAATTCAGCATTTCCGTCACTGATTGACCTCTCATGCCGTCGAGAATTTCTACACACTACTACTTCATATTGTGCACATTAAATATATTATTGCCAGAGTTTTGTTGCAGTTAGTAAGTAAGCACTCAGATTTTTCTGTTGTTTATTCCTTTTTCATTTTCACTACAACATGCGTGCATTGCATTTGTAATTAAAGGCAAAGTAAAAGCCTTCATTAAACAAACCAAAAGGTATTAAATAAGTCTGAAGCAGGAATTTAATTATGTTTTGTATAATGAATAAGTTGACAAAGTGCTTAATGCCTCACATTCACACAAACACAGCAACCTGTTGGTGTAAGTGTCTACGCCTTTTGTTTCTTGGTTATGAATTTTTTAATATTTGTATAGGCTTACCTTTCATAATTTTGATTAATATGCATGAAATGATGTTTGATACTAAATTTTTCTTAAGTATAACTGACAATATTTTTATTAAATTCGCTTAAAAGGTAGTTATGTAATATGAAAGCAATTCATTTACTGTTAAAATTTTTTTTTATGCCTTTGACTTTTGTTTTGCGCTGACGTGATAGCTGCAGCAGTTACGAACGTGTGTCGTAGGCATTTCCTGTCTGTAAGGCAAGTGTGCCTAGTTTCATGTCCAATAAAACAATTAAAACTGGTGTGGAAATTGGCGCCTGATGTGATGCGTATACAACATGCCTTTCTATTATTGAAAAAAAAAATGGTGACAAAAAAACTAAAATTTTGAGTGTTCTGGACACTCACAAGATTTTGACGTGAAATATTTATTCTTTAAAAGATGAAATTACCATTTCCTATTACCATTAGCCTACACTATTGCCATTACCATTACCAGTTTCATTAGTCTATATTGAAGCACACGTAAATATGGGTTTTATTTAAGAGCTGTGTGAAAATAGTGTCTCTTTGCATACATACTTGCACTAAACTGAGTTTCAGTGTCGCCTAGAATTTGCCAGTAGCCCTAGGCTCAACTACCGGAATTCGAACGCTTGTCATGGCAGCTGGCTCAGTGTCGCATGCTTAAATGTTTTAAGAAAAATAAAAAAAATAATAAAATAAAAATATGTACATATACATTTACGTAAACACAATTTTCAATAATGTTATAAAATATGGCAAAGTCATTTTTGCTAAATTTACAACCGCATTGCCATGTTTAGCTTAACGGCTGCAGGTGCCGCACTCCTACAGCTCCAATTCGTGTTGCCCCACTTATGGTTATAATTAATATATGAACATAAAATAGATATGTATGTTGAGATGTGTACAAAAGTCGCATTGAGCGTATAAACATGAAAATCGGTTGGCGGATTATTTATTATGATTTTACGGCAAATTAACGCCGCGTCGGTGAATTGGCTTTTAGTTGAGCTCCTTGCATTTTTACTAGATAAGCTACTGGCGTTCTGTTTATTTATTTTTTTTTTTTGAATTCAAGTATTTGCATTGAAATATTTTCAGCAATGAAAGTATTTAATTTCTTAAAATTGTTGAAGGACTTAGAGCGGTCGTTTGTTGACATGTTGAGTAGCCATTGCACAACATTGAGGTACATACATATGTATGATATATATCGACACCTTAATTCACAGAGGCCTTAACCGACACTTTTTTCAAAACTGCGTTTTGCACAGATTTTGGTAGGAGATATTAAATTACACCTTCAATAAAAATTTTAAAGTGTTCGTTTCAAAAAAAAAAAAAAAACAGAGCTACGTGCCACTTTTTAAAAATCCCTACCTGTTTTTGATACTCTTTTTTAATAACGTTTTTGCTTCTCCTGTAAAATAAAAAATTTGTTGGTTATGGCCAGGATTGCCACTGACGAAAAAAAATACTTACCATCCACTTGAAAAAAAATCTACCAATTGTGGAAAATATCTACCAAAAATTTTTTTTTATTTTAATGAATTAACTTTTACAGTTAATTCCATAAGAATTCAAATTGTGTTTAAGGAGCTCTTTATTTAAGAGATCATATTAATGACATCTTCTCAGTTTCCTTCAACCGAATCGTGGTTGCCGAAACTTCATCATTTGAAAAAATTTAAACTGGAGTTATTATAGATAAATACAGTGACTCAAAAAACGCTTGGTGATTTCTTTTTTAATATTCACCATTTTTTCAAGCCAAATTTTTTCGGTATTATTTTATAAGAATATTGTTTACGCTTTAGGCAAACATTTAAAAATCAAGGATTCAAGCTAAATACAACATTTAGAAAAATTCAAAAAATGTTCGTCTAAATTTCGAAATTTTTACTCTGAATTTTTTGAACAATTTAAGGTATGGAGTTTTATAGCCCATACTACTTGAGACTAATCAACAATGTGCAGATAAAAATTCTTGTTGGCAGTTTTTCGTTTTTTTACCGCCAGTATTTTGTGTGTTTTTTTTCATTTAACAATTGCCATTGATAAAAATATGCGTTTATTTAATTTTTTTTTCGAAGGCTCGAAGTGGGTAATTACATACTTGTCCGTTATTTTTTTTTATTTAAATAATCATTTAAAATATTTAGGCAGTCAAAAGCTTATCGGAATTCCAGTAAAAAGAGTTTGGAATGTTCGCCTTTTATCGACATGTTCGCCTTTTATTGATATACATTTATTCGTATGTATATAAAAAGTGTGCATTAAAGTGTTCGAAAATTAATGCAATAAAGTACACTGCACTTTTGGAAAGAAATTTCTAATAAAAAGATAACTACGAAAAATAAAACGGGAACAAAAAGTTTTATTTGTTTTTCAAACTAAATAATTCAACAAAAATCTACCAAAATGAGAAAAAATTTACCTTTTTACCATTTGAGCAAAACAAAACATTTACGTGTATTTTGTTGTTGCTTCTGGTATCTAAAGTGTCAAACACTGTTCTGATTTTTTTCTGGTAAATCAAAGTGTGCCATGTGAAATACAAAAAAAAATAAAAAAATTAAATTTAATTCGCTGACCCTCTCTCGACGGGCTTGGACGCATGACCACGGTACAAAGTAAAAGGCATCCTTGAATATTGTCAGTTCTATATCTAATCCAAAGCTTAGTTCATATCACCTATGCATGTAGTATATGTAGGCTTCTTTGTGTGAACATACACACATCATATCTCTTTTAATGCACTAGCGGATTTTTTTGTTAAGCACATTTTTTTTCGTATTTGTAACAAATTGTGTGAGTGTGCCGTCAGCGGTCAGTCACCAGACGATACGCATGCGCCATGCTACCAATAAAAGCCATAAATAACCCGGTGCAGACAAGCAACTTGTATCACTTTTTTGCAGGGTTTCTTTTCAACTAATGTAGCTTTTTGTAAACTACAAGTAAGTATTTGACATTTTTTTGCCAACGCTCTACTTTAGTTGCTTGACGGCGGTCATTTATCAATTTTCACCTATGTATATAGGTAATTAATAAGTAAGTGCATAAGTATGGCACGAGCAAACGCACACTTTTGTTTATCTATAATAGCCGTTTCTATTTTATTTTATTTTTTTACCAATGAACGCATAGTTTTGGCGCCTGTCACACGTGCTAATTTATTACTAATTGACTTTTGGTGAAAAGTAATTTAATCTGCACGCAAAATATTTTATTTTAATTCGTTTTTTTTTGTGTATTGTGTTTTTTCTTTGCAGCTTTCCTTAGTGCAGCTGGCCACTACCGATAACGCAAATGGACGTGGGCTGCGTTTGGAGTTGAAAAAATATTGTGCCCCAATGCAAATCAGTTTTTGGAGTTGCATGAATCGCACATTGGAAGGTAAGGAAATTTGTTTGTGTACAAGCATGTACATACAGCCTTGGCCACAAGTATTAGTCACTCCGATATATGACAATTTTTTTTTTAATTTTATTTATTTAATGTTTAAGATTTTTTTACACAATCCTAGCTCATTATCTAACAAAAAGCATACAAATCAAAATTCCAAACTTTGTGCAAAAAATATAAAAATTCTGAAAACGTTCACCATAATTTCCCACTTTTTATTCAGAATCTTTAGAAAAATAACTACCTAGCACGACCCTCCGAGATTGAGGGCATTATTAATTAACTTAAATTTAATTTCGACTACTTGTATGCTTTCGAAGCCTCCCAGTCATTGCTGACCAAATTATTCACCTCTGTTCTGATGTTGGCTTCGATGGCTACAACTGTTTGCGGACCAAGGATTTCCTGTTCTGAGCCTTCTCTGGCCAAATGGTCAGATGCCTAATTACCAACAAGGTACTCCTGAGTGATATGGCACCCCGAGTAAGAAAATGTTGTTATGTTTTCAAACATAATGTAGTCTAGAAGTAGCCTGGCCGCTAGTACAAACACGTTATCTCCTGCACTTCACATATTTTCCACCACAGAGTCCATGACATTGGGATTTGCAAATATCTCAGCTTGTAATATCGAGGCATATTTTCCAAGAGAAAAGTGAAGCTCTTCACCATTATCTTCGATATAAATACCACATCCTAACCCAGTTTAAGTTTTGCAACCGTCCGTACTGATTCAGCAGTGTGTGAGCACGGGCTCAGTGTTGGAGTTAAGCCAGCATTCATCCTCAGAGAACTCAACCTTGTTGTATCTCCTCAGCAAAGGTAATGGTTGCGTACTATCTTGGAGTATTGTAAATACACTTTTATGAATATAGAGTGCTTCTGCAGGTTCTGCAACTTCTGCAGGTTGCATTTAAGGCCTTCCCATGTATGAAGGTGCAAAATGATGGTAAGTGAAGCAGGGCATCAAGAACCGCCCCAGGTAGATTTCCCGCTATTCACAGAGAGTATGCTCCACCATGCTACTGATGCATAACAAATAATGGGTCTGTTAGGATAGTTTGTCTGGCAGCGGAGATAGTACAAAGTTAGGATATTTCATCGATATAGTCCTACTCACGACGGATGGACTGACGGCTATCGACCTGTTGAGATGATGTAGCCCAGGGTCATCGATATATAGATACAAATGTATATACACTATATATAGATACAAATGTATCGACACTAGAGTTCAGCTTTCCGTCTAATTTGAATCCATTAGGATTCCGGTAGAGACCACTTATATTGAGATATTTGTTCAGCGAAATTCTGCAGGTTAGGTTAGGTTGTCGTATGTGGGTATGATTTCATATCGAAAAGGCTATGCGACTTTCATCGAGTGTCTTGCAGTTCGATCTATTTTGCCATTGGCAAGGGTCGAAAATATTGCTGGCCACAACCAGACGGAAATAAGAGGCATCGACTTGGAGACTATTACCACTGGTTCATTAAAGCAATGTAGAGAGTATGTTACATTATGCTGAATGCGAGGTGTTAGCCAGAAAAGCGCTCCCTCGGGATATTTCAGTTTACTCAGCATTGGCTAAGTGTAGCCAGTTGCAGTTGGAAGGATTTAAAATCGAATAGGGTCTGAAAATGTTTGTAAGCTTCTTCTTACGTTTTCCAGTTAACTTCAATTGTTCCTAAACTAGACGGAAAGGACTTGTTAAGCTTCCCAACTGCTTCCGAATGCACTCGACTATTGCGACTCAAAAAATTAAACTTAACTGACTTCCTTCCATTATTTCTACAGGCCGGCCAAAGAGTCTGTATTGTGAATCCTTTTTGGCGGGCGCAATAACCGAGTGGTTAGAGGTGTGTACATCAGCCCGGTAGGACCAAGGTTTAATCCCTGGTACGAGCAGCATTTAAAAATATAAATAGGATATTCTAACCACGGGCTTTCCTCTCTTCTCATAAAACCATTTGTCGTTCGGAGAGGACGTAAAGTTGTAGGTCCCTCCATTTGTGTAAGAATGTCAAGGTTCGCACCATAATTTGGAGGTGAAGCTGGATCAAAAACTTAGCAAATATGTGAGCGCTAAACACTTTTTTTTATTTATATGCCTGATTTTGTTATGAGCGTATATTAATTTATGCCAGAGATTAAACTAGCGAAATATTAAAAAGAAAATAATTCTTCAGCAAAGTGTAATAAGCGTTTTTTTTGAATGGTGACAACAAAATTCAATTCAGCCAAACGCTTGTATTCACTTTTGATCTTCTATAAGCTCACATTTCAGCAAGATTATCTGATAAAAAAATACTCTGGTACAAATGACAATTTTGTGCATGATTTATAATGAAAGAAGAAAAATAAAATCTAAACTACTCACATCAACGGAATCTAATTTTTTATACTTTCCTTATCCTTTATTTATTTAGGTATTTATGTATTTGTTCTTCATATTTTTGTGAACATATTCTTAATTGCTTTTCATTTTTATTCCCTTTCAGCCGTTGCACGTGGCGCTCAGTGGTCGGGTAGACGTTGCTGCGCTTTGGGCTTGTCGCCGCGTTGCCGCAATGCCTGCGCCACGTCAGAATCGACGGCGCAACCACAACTAATCAACGCGTGCCGTCAAAGTGATGAGCAACATATGTTTGCTTGTTTTGAACATCAGGAGGCTGGCGATCGTTGTTGTAGTACGGCGCGCACTTCGGAATGCCTACAGGTGGGTGCAGCGTGGGGGAATGAGGGAACTGTTATTGGATGCAGGTGGGAGAACGACGTATGTGCTATTTTTGGATTGATACATTGACTTAGGAGAATGTCTAGTGCTAAAATAATGCCTATTGAGATACATACACATATATGTATGTAGGGACCATCTCTGTTGTAGGAAAAGAAAAATCATTTTACTTATAGAGCACTTGGCTTGTTGCACCGCTAGGTTATGAGCGGGAGAAGGACATTTTTGTACTGCTTAGCTGGCTAAACTTCCTCTGTAGGAGATTTACGAGCACATTTTGCAAATTTCGCGCCGTTTATTTTCCGCTTTGGCACCGCACTGATTTCCTAGCCAGCATTTAATTATTCTTATCTAAATAGTCGTAGGCGTTAAGCATATGCAATTAGGTATCGCCACAGTGACCATGTCTTTGGTGGTGCCTGCGGCTACTTCAACAACAAAGAAAAAAGAATAAAATAATTAATTGATTCCTAACTTGATTGACTGGTTTGCTAGTTGATTGCAGGCAGCGTTAAAGCCTACGAACGCTCCAATCAAATTCGCATGCTATTAAAATCTTAACAAATTTATTGTTGCAGGCCTGTCGCGATGTCTTTGAACCGCATGCCACACACAAACGCAACGGCCACCACCGACTGCGCGAGATGTGCCACGAGGAACGCGAGGCCGAGCTGCTGCAATGCGTACACAACATAACGGGCATGATGCCGGTGACAAACTCCCACAAATGTAAGTTGAGATGATTTCAATGCCTTTTGTGCCGCTGACAGGGTTAATTGAAAAATGTGACCCGCCTTTAGTTCGAGTGAATGTAAACAGATAATCCATTCATCTTTACAGATCTGCCCTGCTGTGAGTTCTCCAGCGTAGACAGCTGTCGGCGCACCTGTCGCTCGGCGTTGAATAGCACCGAAAGCATAGACATAATTATTGGCGAGCTAGAGGTGGGCGGCTGTGGCATGCCGCTGCCACATCTACCGCTTTGGCAGTGCTTCTTGACCGCAGAGCGTAAAATCTTCGTGCCAGCCACTAAAAGCACCAACGAGCTATCGCAGATCAATCAGATCGGCATCGATTCGGCTAAGCTGCATTGCTGCGAGAAAGCGGTGTCCACAAAGTGTCGGCGTCTCTGCGTGCAGACTTACTCAAACGATTGGACAGCGACGCGCGCGCTTTTCGAAACTTCCTGCCTGTTGGAGCGCAACGAATTGGAGTTGCGACAGTGTGTCGACGAAGTAGACGAACCATGTGAGCTGGGCTGTGATGGGCTGAGCTTCTGCACCAACTTCAATAATCGTCCGACGGAGCTATTTCGCAGCTGTAATGCCGTCGCGGATGTAGCAGCGCGTTCCGATCTGCAAATGTGGCAACAGAATGGCTCCGTCAGCTTGGATGGCTTCGAGCTGCCCATCAAGAATATGACACGCTGCGCGCCCGAGCAGTGGAAGGCTATCGCTTGCGCGCTACAAATTAAACCATGCACGCGCAATCGTCACTACAACCACATTTGTCGCGAGGACTGCTATGAGATACTGAGCGAGTGCATGGATTGGACGCGCATGAGCTCAGCGCTTAATGCGGAAGCAGTATGCGCGCGTCTTCATCCCGATGGCGATGATGTGCCTTGCGTATCGTTGCGACCATATCGCGAAGAGAGTGATGCACCTAAGGAAACTGGCGGGCACCATGGACTGACAGCGCCCTGCAAGGGTCATCCATGCAACGGCAGTGAGGCGTGCATAGCGCGCCGGAATGAAAGCAACGCCTATGAATGTGTGCCCGGTTGTAGTCTCGGTGAGGCGTCAAACTATTTGGTGCCCTTTGGCGCTTATGTGCGCATACCAGTGCTGCAGGGCGTGAAGATGGGTGGTATTGGGGGCGAAGGTCTGGTGGGCGCTTTCAAGGTGTGTCGCTGTGGCGCGCAGGGACGCATCGAGCACTGTCAACCGTTGCCTAGCTTCTCTTACGCGAACTGCGTGCTGCCGGGTGGGCGCAGTTTTCGGCATGGTACCTCCTTCTATCTGGAGTGCAACTTGTGTAGCTGCTTTGCGGGCGAGATTACATGCACCAAGAAGCAGTGTCGACTGGCAGGTGAGCATAAAGACAAAAACGATGATTTGAGATTCATTTTCAGTAAACTATCCAACATTTTATTTCTACCACTTTACTTCAGGCTACAATGATCCCTCTTACACCAGCCTGCCCTGCAACTGCCCGACCCACTTTGTGCCCGTCTGTGGCAGCAATGGCAACACCTACCACTCGGCTTGCCTCGCTAAATGTCTCGGCCTGCAGGACAGTGAAATGCAGTATGGTGCGTGCGCTACATTGAGTCCGTGTCGTGAGGGCGCCTACAGCTGTCCAGCGGGTCATCAGTGCCTAGCACAAGGCAAAATATGCTTGTCATCGATGCATCGACCGTGTCTGCAGTACCAGTGTGGTAAGTAAATCTCGACTTCAAATCATATTCAACAGCCTCACTCAACTAGTTCTCCTTCCAGTCAATCTCACCAGCGGCTGTTCGTCCATTGAATCCCGCCCCGTCTGCGATACGCAGCGACACACGCACGCTAGCGCTTGTGACCTGCTGGAAGCGCGCGCATCTTTCGCTCACTGGGGCTCCTGCTTCAGCAGTTGCACCTGGCAAGGTCCTGTATGCGGCATCAATGGCGTCACATACGCGCACGAATGTGCCGCCTGGGCGGATTACATCATTGTAGACTATCATGGCCGCTGTCGCGAAGTAGGCCTCCTTGCAGCAGATATGGGCCGGCGCTGTCGCACTGTGAAATGCCCGCGTCTACCATCGCCCTACTGTCGCGGCGTTGTGCCGCCCGGCGCTTGCTGCCCCATCTGCGCAGGCGCATTTCGCGTTGTCTATTCGCGCAAGCAAATCGATCGCGCGCTATATGCAGTGCGCGGCCAACATAGGGATCTATTGACGTTGAATAGTGTGCTGCAAGCACTGGACGCGCTTGTACAGCTGGCTGAGTGCCAACTCACTGGCTTTCTAACCATGGAGGTGGGTATCTTTGTGGCGCTTGTACCGCGCACGGCGGCGCCGACGCGCATACAAATTGAAGCGTGTGCGCGTGAAGCCGAACGCATTTCTACGCTGATCGATGCGCAGTCGCATGAAATTACAACGAATTTGTTGCTTTCTGGGCTGACAGTTTCGCATTTGGTGGAGGAGAATGTGGATGGTGGTGGTAGGCGAATGCTGGTTATGCCCAGTTTGGCGATCATTGTGTCGCTGACGTTGTGGACGCTACAGTCTAAACGCGTTTTATAGTTATAGCATTTGAGTTGTTACCTGTTGTGGGTGAAATGGAAGATGAAAAAGTGTTTTTGTAAAACTGCTGAGTGAATTCTTAGTGCCAATTTAGTTGTAGTTTGAATGTTTTGTTTTTAATCGAAAATCAAGCCAAATGTAAATAGGAATGTGTATTCAAATAGTTTATTTTAGTGAGTCTAGGAATATACATACATAAGTAGATTTTAAGTAGTTAACATTTTGTTAATGATCGTAATTAACCTTTCTAATTTTTGAAGAAAAATATGAAATAAGTATTTGTAAATATTGCTTAGGCTGCTTTAAGAAACCATCGATGAGATTATTTAATCTTAAACAATACATATGCATGTAAGTATGTATGTACATAGATTTATTTATGTATGTACATTGCATACTGTCCATATTTGTATATATGTATGTAAAAGCAACTTCTTAGTTTTTATTAGAATATAAATAGTTTTGAAAACTAAGTGCCGTTTTCTCATCTAGGTTTTAAAATGTATCTGCCCTTTAAGAAACAAAATTTGTGTTTAAAAGGCAGATAATTCTTAAAACCTACATAACAAAAAGGGCCCTAAAGATAATAATTGTAAAACAGAAATTTCCTTAGTTATTTTTTAATGCTATTTAATGTGCACAAATATCAGTTTATATTTCAATGTCTTATTCATCAGAAATATTGTTCAATGGGTTTGAAATGCTTTAAGTATAGTAGGTAATAGTATAACTATAAACCTTATCTATTTAAACCAGTAAAGCATTAAGGTGTAAGGCAAGCGTTTCCATACTCATAAAAACTTAGTTAAAATACTTAGCAAATAAAATAAATTTTTCATAATCTTGAGAAAATTAAAATTTTAGTTTAGGCTGATTTTCACTATGCCATATTTTAAGGATAAAATTTGTCGGAATTTTTTTTTTTTACACAACTTTCTTCTCCTTAATCTATGCCACAGCCGACAATATTATGATCCAAAAGGTAACATATAGCCGATTTAGCAGCGATTATACGCGACTGAAGACCCATTCTGATGAGAATGAATCGATATTCTGGGTTTTAGTTGAATTTAATAATATGTTTTCACGTACTAGATGACAAATCCGCTTGAATTCGACACAGTGAAAATAAGTGGCAGAATTGGGCCTAAAAAGAAAACTACATTTTATACTGAAATTTACAAGTGTATATATATTTGTATACAAATATACATACTCATTTGTATAAATTGTTCTCAACGATAGTTTCAAAATGCCCGTATATCACCTTCTCATATTAGAAATTGTTTAAACCAGCATGTGCCTTAAAACTTTATTAATGTAGATACCATTCACTTGATGTGAGGTCTTCATTCATTGTGAACGATAAAAGGTAAAAACTAGACACGCAATTTTAGTATGTCTCTTAAAAACTGGACATTTGTAGATACATAATAACAGGGTACAAGGTGCAGGCAACAAAAAATCTGAGCCTGCATAATTCTTAAATGGTACGTAAGCAATGTATTTTTATAGTTTCGAGCGTTGTGATTGATCCTACAAAATTTATATTGACCTCAAAAGAGAAGAACTAATTTTCTTACGTGTTATTCCTATGGGAAAAATAAACGATCGATGCGCGACCTCTTAAAATTATTGTAGAGAGGGGAGCTCCATGGAGGATCATTAGTACATATGCCAAATACTAAAATTTGATTCGAGTGCGGTCAAATTGCAAGATATTTTTTTTTTTTACGTGGTCTAATGTATCCCTACTCAAGTGTATGTTAGTTAAGTAAAACCTCACATCATATTGAAGTTAGTACATATTTTGGGTTTTATTTGTAATAATCTACAATAAAGAAATATTCTTTATTATAGTAGAACTTGTGATATTTGAGAAAAACGAGAGCCATATAAAAAAATGTTTGTACGTAGTAATAACTAGTTAAACCGCTCTATTTTAAGTACGTATCGAAATAAAAATATGTTCATGTTGAAGTCGACTTAGCCTATCCCTCTACAAATGAGCCATTTATTTTACTCTAGTAGTCAATCAAAGCTGCAAGCAACACCAAAAGCTCAACTTATCCTTTATGTTCCAATAGCATTATTTATCATAGCCTTGAATTCTGATCATATTCTCAATATCACTGCATAATTCGTAGACAAGTAAATATGAATATACATATTAGGACACCGTTAATATGTAGTACTTATATGCGGGTACATATGTGTGTAAGTAATGTATATATGTATTAATATAAAAGGAACAGAAGTTTACGAAAAGCCATAAGCGAAACCGATTCGTATAAAGTAATTTAAATGCTCGTAACTACTCATGTACATACGATAATTATTTAAAAAGTTAATTTTATGGAAAAATGTAATTAAAGATTGATCAATTCATATATTAAGTTGTATACAAAAAAACATATTGGAAAGAGACATATCTTCGCCAGTTTTGGGGAGTTTAGTTATCTGTCGGATTGAAAACATATTCTCCTTATCAAGTTTATTAATTGTATGATGAAATCTCAAAAGAAGTAAATTTCGTATTAATTCCTTACGTTATTAAACTTTCGATATGTATGCATTGAACCATCCCATCTCTGAGTCTATATTATTTTTGCAAGGCGATTCCGAAAAACAAATTTTAGGCCGAATTTTTAAATTTTTCGCTGATTCGGCAATATATATATTTTTTAAATAGTTCTACTGGAATAATCAAAATACTTCCTTACAAAAGTTCAAGGATTTTTGGTGAGCTTTAATCGTCTGATATTAGGGTGTCACGCCAGGGTGATAAGAACTTTATGATAATGAACTTTAGACCAAATGTAAATGCCGGAGATATAACGAATAATGTAAAAGGGTGACACCTACGTTCGGCTAATTTTTTTTATTTTTTTGAAGTTGCCTCGCAAAAATTCTTTAGACACAGGACTGTACGGCAAACTTTTGTTCTGCTACGGTTACTAGACCATGTATGTTTGTATATTTTCCATTAATAAATGTATGAATAATTACAAATGTAAGTCCTTAATACCAAAGCATTTAGTAAAGAATTAAAGAAATATACATACATACATATGTATATATAAATCTTGTAAAATGATAAGCATTATTACAGTAATTTTTAGCTATGTACCTCTATTTACTTTATAACTGAAAAAATATTCATACACTAGTCTAGTCTAAGCACGTATGTAAGCAAAAAACACATGTATTTATTTGTGGAAGTACGTTTCAAATACTCACTTGTTATTTACATTTACATAGATATGTACATATTTTATTTAATAAAACAGAAAAATATTTGATGAATTGATAAAAATTAATTGCAATAATTACATATGCACGTACATACATATGTACATTAGGCCGTGCCGACTTGCAAGCAAACAAAAAAACGTTCACCCCACAGTTTGAAGTAGGGGTCGCCTTTTTACATTTTTCGGTGATACTTACATATGTTTATAGATATATTCGACAATAAATTTATTTTTTTTATATTTTTACTGGAATAATCAAATTACTTTTTTGGCAAACATTCAATCTTTTTTGGTGAGCTTTAATTTGCTGACATCAGAGTAGGGACTGAGATCTGGTGGGTAAAAAATTAGAACGAGGTACTTGAGATCAATCAACTTTAAAATAAAGAAAACTTCTCCTCTACACAAATAACATCTATATATCATAGCTAAAATTGTCCCCTAACTTCGGCTAAAAAAAATTCTAAATTGTACTCGAATCGAAAAACTTCCTTAGCAAGAGTTTGATAATTTTTGGTGAACTTTATTTTTCTTCGGCGAAAAAGTAAAATTTTTTTCGAAATTGCCTTGCAAAAATACTTGAGATTCTGGGGCATAGGCCGAACTCTTCGATACGGTATACTGTACATATGTATGCATATTTGTATGTATTTATATGCATTAATTTCTTTATTAATTTTTTTCGCTAACACTATAATTTACCATGCAAAAAATACTTTATATGCATACACATGTAGTATATTAGGGTGGTCTAAAAAGAGTAAAGTCGGAATTATAATGCCCCCACCCCTAGGATTGTTCTATATCGAAAAAGTATACCCCTATTANTGTCTCTTTTTTCTTCAAAATGCTCTTAAGTGTTCTTCTTGATGTTCTCTGCTTTTTGTGATTTGTGTTCTTTATTTATTCATGTGGTTGTTGGACTGGTCACCGGCTTTTTGCCATCTGCCGTCGTTATCTTGCTTGTCTATTCTAAGTAAATATATAAAAAAACACATACAATATTTACACTATCTTCTACATAGAAGTCAATAAACGGTTGAGTCCACTAACCCATAACAAAAAATGTGATAGACGGTCAATATTGAACTATAGTTTGATAAAGTTGAAGTAAGTATTTGTACATAGTTCAATAAGTCAACATAACATATATTTTAAAGTAGCAGAAAATACTCGTAAATACTCGTAATATAAAGACAAGTATATGTGCTCTATAAGTAATCTTACTAATCAGAGGAATATAGACCAGCGTACATATGGATTTGTTACACACATACTATGACTATGTTGAAATATTAACAATATCCCAGCTGGTTTTACTACTGGGTTATCAAGCGACATTTTGAAAAAAAAGATCTTTGAACAGCGCAACTATCATACTTATATATAAGGAATAAGTATATACGGAAATCGGTTTCACTACTAAATCCGGGGAACCTGCCAACAAAGTTGAGCCTCATCATTCAATAACAATCTTTACCTCAGCAGTAAAGACCTACATTGCTGATATGTGCTCAAATCATAATATGTGAAAAAGATCTGTGCTAAACGGTAATTTTAAGAAGTTTCAGACTTTGAAGGGTGGCAAGTTCCAAATTTTGGATGGAGAAGATAATCGTTCCCCTAGGCGTATTAGTCTGCGAATCATTGTACGTGTACGTGGGCAGTTACAGAGAATATGCTCTGAGGCTTCCTCCACTCGGCCACAGAGCCTGCAGTCCGTCCTAACAGAAAGCCCCATTTTAT